AATTTTAATAAAAATTAAAATTTTTTGATTTTCTGGCCCCCATTTTGAAGTTTGCCTTGTGAATTAAAGAATTTGCCCGCACCACTATTTAGTATACTCTAGCCACCAGCGGCACCCCACTTTGGGAAAACCTGCTCTATAGATCCGTATGTACTATTTAAATTTAAAAAAATTAAAAATTTAAAAAGTTAAGTTGTTGGAGTAATTTATGTCGCTATTAATAATTATAATAATCTTATCTACCGTTATGTTAAATTACGGAGCTCTTACGATTTTTTGCGGGTTATAGATTGAAAACTAGGGTGGTCTACTATTTTCCAACAGGTTTACCCATTAACTCCCAGCAGAACAGGCCTGTTTAAAAAATAGCTTAAATTTTCCTAAGGATAACCGAAAATAATAAAAATACTACTAATTCCCACCAAGAAGGGGGAACTTTAACCCTACAAAACCTTCCTGTGGTTTGACCACCACTGATGAATGCTAACATAATTTTCACACAGCCACCTAGTACTTGTATATGTCTGTGGGACCCCAGAATAAAATAGCCGGCTTATTTATAATCTGTTTAAAAAATATACAACTCTTTATTAAAGAAAAAATACACAGTAATATCAATTTTTTTGTTATCTTCAATAATTGAGGATTCTGTTAAAACTGCTTTCTGAGATATAAGCGTTAAAGTTTTTGGTGTGTGCTAACTTTCTTGTTGTTGTAGTTATATGTAAAAAAAGAATATTGTTGTGGTATTGAAAAAAAATTGTTATATATTCTGGAGTAGTAGTTCCTTCAATCGATGTATTTCAATGCGCATTCACCATGAAAATTTTGTACAAAATTCCTTAGGCGCCGATATTTTCGTAACTCGGCGGCGGCGTGCCTCGGCGGCTAATGAAGCTTTAACGCAGAGTAATATTGGTAAATCACATCCCAGTGGTGCAGCCGGTCGGCATAATCGGACATTCACCACACTTTTTCTCGGCGGCTCCTTTTTGCAAAAGTATTGCCCTTATCATTACCAATACATATCCCGAAAAACACTTAGAGGAAAAGTACCCTTTTTTATAACAAAAAAAATATAGAAATTTCTAACCGATTTTTAACAATTTGGTATCGTTGTAAAGCTGATTGAACCCCCTTCTTCCGGTGTGCATATTTGTATACTTAAAATTTGAGAAGAAACACTTGAAAGCAAAAAATACCTTTTTTATAAAGAAAACTATTTTAAGCAGAAAACTTATACGTTTTTAAACGCAAAAATTTCGTTTCATATACACCAAAAAAATATATAATTAAAAACATTTGTTCTCTTAGAGCGCATACCTGGTTCCATTATAATGATTCCAGTATCTTTATTTATGTATATTGTATCTTATAAAGAGAAGTGCAAATTTCTTTTATCTAAAACTAATAAAGTTAGAAAGACGAAATTCGAGGATGTGGTAGTTAATATATTAGGCCTTGACATATATTTTTTTCAAAAATAAGTATTGGAAATTTCCTACTTTTAAAAGGACATTTTCAATACTTATTCGTCCTGGTGCACCCACCCAAAAATTAAATTTGTTTTCTATTCTATAGAATTTTTCCTTTTAATTGGTACCCATATTATTATTCTACAATGCACCTCATCTTTTGAATAATTTTCTTATTCAATCATATTATCGAAATTTCAAAGTCTTTTTTAAAAAAAATTCTGACGTCAGAGAGAAAAATTAAAAACGCAGTTTTACTAAATTTAGCCCCAGTCTCGTGAATATATTGATTTTTATGTGTGTAAAATTGACTGTCGCACGGTGTTATATTATATACTCAAAAAATTGGACTGACTAATGTGGATATTTTTCATATGTATCAGAACAATATTGTTCATTAAATAAAAAAATAATACCAAGCGATATTCTCTAACTATATCTGTAAGCTTCAAATAATTCGGCCACAGTTCAGTAAGATTTGCAACATTTTTTGCTACAAAATAAAGACAGTGAGTGGCAACACTGCCTACAAGTCTTCTTTTGTTTTCTTGCTTTTCGATCATGAAATTAATCTCCACGACGAACCGTTCTCTTCGTATGTATGTATTACCCACGGTGGAGAGAATACAAAAGGTGGCGCCGACGGCAATACCGCTAATCGGCTCTCAGTGAATTTGACAGAATCAGCTATTTTGCTGACGTCACAGTCGAGTTGACAGCAGTAGTTATGTGCTGAGTCAATACTTTTAAGTATCCAATACTCTCGATACTCGGTACCGAAACATTTAGGTTTCGAATAAAAGCGCACATAGGCCAAAAATATGGAAAAAAACGGTTCAGGGGAGATTCGCCTATCAAAACCCTAATATGCTTTAAATCGGTGTATGTTTCATTGAAATCGAGCGAACAGTGCCTTCAAAAAAGGGACTGCAAAAATTACTTGTGGCGTACTTATATATAGATATCTCCATACCAAGTTCCAGTACTATACCATGTACATTTCCAAAGAAATGCAGTACAAAAAATTCGCTTTGTATGGGAGGTGCCACGCCCCCATTTCCAATAACTCTAATTTTTCTCCAAGAGTATTCGATATATCTCGTATATCTCCAAACCAAGTTCCAGTACTCTACTATGAACATTTACAGAGATATGCAGTGTGAAAAATTTGGTTTGTATAGGAGGTGCAACGCCCCCTCTTCTAATAGCTCCAATTTTCCTCCAAGAGTATGCGATTTATTTCATATATCGTAATACCAAGTTACAGTATTCTACCATGAACACTTTCAGAAGTATACACTATGAAAAATTCGGTTTGTATGGGAGGTGCCACGCCCCCTTTTCCAATAGCTCCAATTTTTCGCCAAGATTATGCGATTGTTTTCATACATCGCAGTACCACGTTCCAGTATTCTACCATGAACACTTCCAAAAGTATGCAGTATGAGAAATTCGGTTTGTATGGGAGGTGCCACGCCCCCTTCTCCTATAGCTAATTTTTTTATTTCATATATCGCAATACCAAGTTCCAGTACTCTACCATTAACACTTCCAGAGATATGAAAAATTCAGTTTGTATGGAAGGTGCCACACCCCCTCTTCCAATAGCTCCAATTTTCCTCCAAGAGTATGCGATTTATTTCATATATCTCCATACGAAGTTCCACTACTCTACCATGAACATTTCCAGAGATATGCAGTATGAAAAATTCGGTTTGTATGGGAGGGGGCTACATTTTTTGTTAATTTTTTATTAAAATATGTATACACACACTATATGTACATACACACACATATACACATATATATCTTTTCGGGCTTTCAGCTATGCAATTCCGCTATTGCTGAAATCCTGAAAAGCGCGGAACGCCTGAAACGCTTGTTGTGAAGTTGTACTCTTAATGCTGGTTCCGAACTAAACGAAATCCTCCACTTTCTCGAAATTATAGCTGCCAACAGTGACGTGGGTGCTAAGGCGCGAATGCGCTGACTGTTTGTTTGATGGCGGGAGATACTTCGTCCTGTACTTGTTGACCACTAGACCCATTCGCTTAGCTTCCCTATTAAACTTTGAAAAGGCAGAGCAGACTTCGCGACTCTTGTTACCGAAATTTCACACTCTTGTAAAAAATTTTTCCTGAGCGGTTNTCCATTCGCTTAGCTTCCCTATTAAACTTTGAAAAGGCAGAGCAGACTTCTTGTTACCGAAATTTCACACTCTTGTAAAAAATTTTTCCTGAGCGGTTCAGTTCTACGTCTCGTATGTTCATCTCCAATATCAGATTAAACAAATAAAACGAAAGGAAGTCACCATATCCGAAACCTCGTTTGGTATCAAAAGACTAGGAGGTCATTCCCCATTCTGCCGGGGCTGGTGTTATTGCTCATCGTCATTTTACACAGCCGTATTAGTTTCGCGGGAATACAAAATTCAGACATCGAGGCATAAAGACTACTTTCTTGACAAATATATGGTGTTTAGATCATATTCCCCAGTATTTTCCAAGATTTGACCTGTGCTTAAAGGCTGATTCCGCGTTAGATGGCCCATATGGCTGGGTCGCCTTTCTTGTAGATTGGGCAGAGTACACTTAAATTCCAGTCGTCGGGCATGCGTTCATCTGACCATATTCTTCGTAAGAGTTGATGAATGCACCTCATCAGCTACTCGTCGCTGTGCTTGAATAGTTCGGCTGAAGGTTGTCAGCATAGTCAGGCGGTGGGACATCGATTCCATCGTCTTCGACTGGGGGCTCGGGATCGCTCTTTCCACAGCTTTCAGTGCTGCTGCCATTCAATAGGGTGGAAGAGTATTGCCTCCATAATTTTAGTACGTTGTTGATATCGTTCACTATTTCGCCATGGTTTTTCTTACAGGAGTTCACCCTGGTCTTGAAACCTTCCGTTAGTCGCCTAACTTGCTGATAATTTCGGGCATTATTCTTGTCGACCCGCATCTAAAGCTCTTCGCACTCACGTATTTCGGCCTCTTTCTTCTTATTGCGGCAAATAGGTCTCGCTTCCCGCTTACGTTCCATATAACAGTCCCCACATGGCTCGCGTTGCACCCGATCGCAGCGTGGCCCTGTAGGCGGCATCTTTTTTCTCATAAGCCTCTTGACATTCCTCATCATACCAGGTGCTCTCAGAAAGCTGCTGTGAGTCGAGTGGCGAATAAATTGGCCGCCTGTTGTGATTGCAGCATTTCGATGTTACTGGCTAACCAGAATTCTCCAATCTGCCCACAATATGTAGCTGTGGTTGTGTTGTATTATTGCTGATGTGACTGATGTAGCCAGCGAAATAGCTTATGGCTGTGGTACTACGTTCGGGTTAGCCAGATAAAGTAGACAAACTTCAAAAAATAAATGACGAATTAATTGAGCGAGCGGTTTTACCTTTAAGTATTTGTATCAAGCCCCAAATTATGTAACTTCTTCACATTCTCTTCAAGCTCGTATTTCACGAGAATAAATTTGCAGACTGTGTATTTTCGTTTATTAATTTTGTTTCTTTAAATTTCAGGGTCTTAAAACAACAACAGGAACCACATTGAAAAAAACCACTGTGAATAACCCACCAAAAACTACAAGTGGAGCTACCAAAGTAAACTCACAACTTAAAACGACCCCCGATACAGCCGCCGCAAGTCGAGTTCTAGAAGAGAAATACAAGCTTAAGAGCAGCAGTCAATCACGTAGAGTCGACCCATCCCCAATTGCCAAGACACGAACTCCGCGCGATGTTAAGCTGAAAACCACCCCACCAAGTAAAATATTGAGCACATCCCGAGCCGCTCCGAAAATAGCTGACAGGCAGAATGCACCAGAGCCAAAGAAACGCATTACAGCAACGTCAATCAAGAGTAGCGTCAATGAAAAGCCAACGCGGGTTAAGCATAGCCCTGGTATTGAGGCAAACGTCAAGAAGAAGCAGTCCAAAGCCATTAAAGCCAATGCCGTGCTCGATACATATCACAATGTAACGGTTGCCTCCCCACCACCGCGCCGTAAAGAATTCGCCGCAGAGTCATTCAATGACAGCGTTGTACCCGTCGAAAATGATGAGCAACCGAAGCGTGTCCGCACCCATTCCTTGAAAGATGAAGAAATCATTGTTTTGCGTACCGATTCAGCAAAGCAAAGAATAGAGCAACAGATACTATCAGACGTGACAACAAGGGAAACAAGAGCTGCAAGGAAATTACCCGCAGTTGAAAGGGAAGTACAGAGAACTGTTGTCAAAGAACCAGTAGCTTTCGACGTAGCCTTCGGTGAGCCGTTGAAAAGTATAAAATCAGTCCCAAAACCAGAAGAGGCCTCAGGAACTCAAGTTTCGGTTAATGGTAATGAAGCTAAAGATAGTGATCCCGATAACTACTCAGACGATTTTGAGTCATATGAGTCGGATTTTGACACCGAAACGTCGACTCAAAATGGTTCAATTGGGAATAGTGAGAACGACTCGTCGGCAAGTGGTGCCGGCAGCGAAGATGAAGGCAACAGCATAAGTCCTATATCTTCATCATCTGGGGATGAAAAAGCAAAAAATAGGGAGGAAATGCATGCTATTAATAGCGACGATGAGGAAGAATCTGAAATAACCCAATATCCTATCACAGTAATTCATCGCGATAAGGATACCGAACGAAAACTGGACTCAGGAAACTACGAAATGAACTCACGTAAACATCCAAAGCTTTCTGAGATCAACACTCAAATGGGTGAAAGGCCTTTTGACAGCATGGACACTTCGTATAGCGTTGCTTCAACAGACCAGCTGGACTCGGGAATCAGCGGCTATACTGTAACGAATAAAGTTCAAGCAGAAGTCGACCAATTCGGTGGAATTAGGAGCACTTATGGCGGTTATACTGGTTTTAATACCAGACCAATCGTGAGTAAAAGGGGCGTAGAACTAATGAACAAAATTCAATTCGACATTTTGACCTTTTCGCTGTTCGAATTAAAGCCCATAAGCTACGATATTTATATGCAAACATACGGCACACTCAATACTACGCAGTGCTCGACACAAACTAACGACAATCGTATGTCTAGTGAATGTCAGACGGACGGATATGAAATGCGCACCATGTGGACACAACATCCGCCACAATTCGATTTGCAAACAGTGCAAAAACTTAGCTCAGGCCTGAATGGTACATCGGCGATACAAAACTGTTGCGGCGAGTCTCCGACAGACGAATACAAAGCGATCTGCTGTTCAAAGTCTGATGTCTATGATTATAGTTTGCAACAGTTAGCCATTATTCGTCAAAGCAAAACCAACCGGATCGTTAGCGAACAACTGAAAAGTATGTACAAACCGGTGGATTTCGAGCGATTAAACTCATTTTTACTTCGTGCTACCAGCCTAATATCGAGAGTTCTCAGTTCGGCGCAATCAGATACTAGTCAAGTGGGACAAATTAGGAAACTGGAACAGTACCAAAGTAACCTACAGGCAATTAGCAAAGGCTACATTCCTTTGGACACTAAACTTTTAAATGCTTTGCGTGTAGTACGTGTATTCGCAAGCGCGCGACATGATCTTATCATTACAGTGCATGTGAGTCTGCCAGACGCAGACGTCTATCAAAGAGACTTTTCTCACCTTCTTATGGTGTGGTCAACCAACGAATGCTCACAACCATTGCGGTTGCTTTCTACGTGGAGCGAGGTTTGCCGCGCCGAAATCTGCAACGACTGCTCAGATATCGTCATTTGTGGACTGCATGATGGCAGTATTGCAATGTGGGATCTGCGTGAAACATACTCTTTCTGCTCCAAATTGGATGGATATCTGACGCACTTTGCTGCAACGCAGTCCGTGGTTCCGACATGGGATACCAATACAAGCCAACAGCAAAAACTTGTCGACCTTGGCGCAGTGATAGATTTACGTAGTTTTCTAACACCTCCGAAAGCAACAACTACTATAGGGCCGTATAGACAAATACAGGTATGCAGGAAATAAAATATAATCTGCCTTATCCTGAGTTCCGCCTAAAAAAAGTTCACCCGAAAATTTATCATCCGCTCATAGTAAAACCATGGAAACCAAGAGTGAAAAGTGAACCGGTTCGGGGAAAATAAAACTCATGATAAGGCTGAATGAATATTTTTTTTTCTAATACAGAAGTATTTATTTCCAGTTCGCTGCGTTAAACGACAGTGGTATCTTGTCGATTTGGACGCTGGTGGAAACTAGTGCGAGGCCGTTTGAATTTGACATACCGAAAACAGTTAATTCCCACCACCATCAGCAGTACAGCTCAGCTTCTAAGTCAAGTTTTCAATTTGAGTACAGTTCACCTTGGGCACGTGTCAAACTGATTCAGAGTGCTATCTGTGATCTACGCGACTACTTAGAAAGTGGTTCGCGCCGCGCACAAACCCAATTCGAAAAAACTAAATTATTGTTCCAAAAAGAACTTTACAGTGATGAGGTTTTACGAGAACTAAACAGTACGCAGAATATGCTGCGACAAAGCCAACAACTGCAGGGGCTTCGCTTCACTGGTATCGATACCGGTAGCGAACGCATCTATGTATGCATTAACCGAAACTTTGTACTGACCTGTTCGAAGAGTCTAAAAACAGAACGTTTTCGTAAAATTAACATCAGCGAGGGCGGTTTCCTCTTTCCAACAAGCTTGAAGGTGCTGACCAACGAAAATTATCTCGCGGTAGGCCTTTCGAACGGATCAGTGATGATTGTCAACTGCAACCAGCAAACATTTTCCTCTCAACGCTTTAGAGATGGAGGGGGCTTGGAGACTGCATACTCAAGGGAAGAAAACTGTGGTATTAATACACCTCAAACACCTGACATCGATCCAGACACTGGAAAATCTTGTGCCATTCAGAACATTATACTAAATGAGAGGCGACAGCTGGCAAACGAAGGCAATAGCCACACTACCCAATATGACACGCGACCATCCACAGCCGCTTGCATTGCGTTGATAAACAATCAAAAGCGACCATTTGAGTTGCGAGTCTATGACCAGCAAATAATAATGATCGGCTCTGCATTGCGCAAGGACTTAGTGCAATCGCTAGAACTGTCACGTGATGGCTGGCGACTTTTTGCGCTCATTAATGGACAAATACGAACATATGATTTTTATTTGGATCGCGAAATCGGAGAAGAGTTAGTAGATGCAAATACCCAGCGTGTTAGGGATATAGCGGTGGCCAAAAATTCACAAAATGATAGTCATCTTATTATATTAGATGAAGAAAATGAAGTAAAAGTGCACTTATTAAAACAATAATCAAAACTAATAAATTAATTGCAATGTCTAAAAGAGATATGTATTCTAATTTTTTTTTTTTTTTTTGTTTAAATTACTTTTGAGCTGTATGACAGGCAGAAGATTATTTGGCCAGCTCTTAGGCTACAGGGCAATGCCAATTCTAAAATAGTTTTACCAAGTTTACAAATTTACATGTATACCTTTAAGGCCCATTTTCAGAACATCCTCAAGTGGCATATCTCTCGATTTGTCTTTAAGGGCGATGTCGAAAAAATGTATCGGCAGATATTGCTCAACAAAGACGACTTGCTTGACACAAACTTTCTTGAATATGAAACAGCATGCGTGGTTGACTTGATGTGCACCTATAAACCTTATGCGCTCATTCAGCTCGATACATTAATACAAGGGAAATCCCTATCTCCTCTACTTCCCAAACCTAATAAACTTTCCCTCAGCTAAACAATAACACTTCCATAGCTCTTAAAGTACTGGATTCTGCTCGCGTTAGCAGGAGAACACCAAATGGTGTTCAATATTAGTAGAAATCTAAGATTGATTTCCCTTTAAGTCACTGTAATTATACTGTATGAGAAATGAGTGCAGAAATAAGACGATCGTGAAATTTTTGTTGGTGCGGCAAAGGCGTACTTTTTTTTATTTCAGAAGCACCAGTAGAGATCACGGTCACGGCGTATTTGGTTGTTTGTGACATTAAACGGAGCG